GACCTCAAAAACTTCAGTGCAATGTTTTGTTTGCAACAAAATCGGCCATAAAGCCTCAGATTGTCGCGCTCGGACGAAGCAACCTTACTGTGGGCATTGTCGTAGGGCAGGACACGATACCCAAGTTTGCACCAAGAAACCCGCCACGTATAAAAAGGCTTCATGTATATTGTCCGAAGAGAACTCTAAAGACAATGATAACGCATCCGGCGGCGGGCCCGAGAATAATGTGTCGGGGGCAGTAAACACGCAACAAATGGCAACGAAATATCAGATGCCAGTTCTCCAGGGTCTCCTATTTGGTAAGCCTGTCTCTGTTCTTCGGGATACAGGAAGTAACACGACGGTTGTGCGACGTTCCCTCGTGCCCGACGAAGTGCTGACAGGAGCTATGACGACAGTATTTTTAGCCGATGGGAGCAGAATAAAAGTTCCCGAAGCAAAAGTGGAGATATTTTCGCCCTATTTTTCTGGCACGGTGATCGTTAAATGCATGACTTCCCCATTGTATGACGTCATCGTGGGAAACGTGCCAGGATCCCGTGATCCCAATGATCCAGATAGCAGGTGGAGCGAGGGACTGTCGGAAAGGAAGACGAAGTCTAAAAGCGTCAAGGAGAGATTAGGGGTGATGAAAGCAGATCGCTACGGGAGACCAATGATCAGCGTAGTCAAGAATTCAAGTGCTTCGTTGGATTCGGTGAAAGCAACCGCTTTGAATATCAACCAACGAATCTTCAAGATTGAGCAGGCGGAGGACAAGAGCCTAGATCTCTGTAGGAACAAAGTTGGGCAGGTGTTTTTTGGGAGAGGATCGACAGAATATTCGTTTGTTATGCAAAAGGGAGTTTTATATCGCCATTATCGGTTATCCTCCGGCAAGATAGTACAGCAGGTAGTTGTTCCTCGCAAACTGCGGAGCCAAGTACTGCAGCTAGCTCATGAAAGTCTGATGGCGGGCCATCAAGGCATCAAGAGGACAATTGACCGAGTACTAGGATCATTCTATTGGCCAGGAGTTCAGGAAGAAGTAAAGAGATACGTGCGATCCTGTGACATTTGCCAAAGAGCATATCCAAAAGGTAAAGTGGGCAAGGCGCCTCTGGGCGTAATGCCGTTGATCGACACCCCTTTCGAGCGAGTGGCAATCGATATTATCGGTCCTTTAAAACCTGTGTCGAGAAACGGAAACCGCTACATATTGACCATGGTGGACTTCGCCACGCGCTACCCGGACGCGGTGGCCCTGCCAGCAATCGATTCGGCGACAGTAACAGAGGGCCTGGTGGAGATGTTCTCACGCGTAGGATTCCCGCGTGAAATTCTATGTGATCAAGCATCTTGTTTTACTTCCGAACTGATGAAAGAAGTCAACGAGTTACTGGCCATTAAGCACCTCAGTTCTACACCTTACCATCCTATGTGTAACGGGTTGGTGGAACGATTTAACGGTACGTTAAAACAGATGTTGCGGAAGCTCTGCCAGGAGGAACCAAGATCCTGGGATCGGTTGCTTGCCCCACTCCTTTTTGCCTATCGTGAAGTGCCTCAGACCAGCACGGGATTTTCTCCCTTCGAACTTATTTACGGGCGTGACGTCAGAGGACCACTTAGTTTGTTAAAAGAATTATGGATTGGAGAACACATCGGCGACGAGGCGAAGACAACTTACGGATATGTATTGGATCTGCGAGATCGTCTTGAAAAAACACTGCAGTTGGCTCATGAGAACTTGACACGAGCAAGAAAATCACAGAAGCAATACTATGATCAGCGAAGCATGAAACGTCAGCTTGAAGTAGGCGACCGGGCCCTTATTCTACTCCCTACTACGGAAAATAAATTACTCATGCAATGGAAAGGACCTTTTAAGGTCACAGGGAAAAAGGGCAGTCATGACTACTGGTTGGACTTGGGACGTGACACCAAGTTGTTCCACATCAACATGTTAAAGCGTTACGAGGATCGCGAACCGGAGAGGTTTACACAAACAGCGTCATTCGTAGTGATGGAAGAAGAGGAGGCAGATTCACCTATACCAGTTTACACTATTGACCAAGGGACTGTATCTTATGCAAGCCGCCAGTTGCTGCCCCGGGAAAAGAATTACTCTACCATAGAGAGGGAGTGTTTGGCATTGGTATGGGCGGTACAGAGGTTTCACATTTTTTTGTATGGGAACCAGTTTGTTGTACAAACAGATCACCAACCTCTACAGTACTTAGCCCGAGCCAAACACTTGAACAGTAGGGTCCTGAGGTGGAGCCTGGCATTGCAAGAATACTCATTTAGCATTCAGCATATAAAAGGGTCGGAGAATACCGGTGCGGACTTCATGAGTAGATTGTGAGCCAAGAGTTCGGACTTCATGCACTGTGATATTGGGTGTTGGACACTCAAAGTATGTCAGTGTATTTAACGGTGTTCTTGTGTATTTAGTAAATATTGGACCTCGACATGTGAACTATACAGAGGACATATACAGTGAAGGGGTTTACAGACCGCGCACGTGTCAGCAGTTTTTTTTTTTTTTTTTTTAAAAAAAAGAAAGAAAAAACTCATTTAAGGGGGGGCTTTTGTGATATGTGTCGTGCGCGAAGCTTCAAAGTGCGCGCCATTCAAAGTGCGCGCCATTCAAAGTGCGCGCTTGAAGCAGACAACGACGAAGGTAGCACGAGCGCTGAGTAGCGGGGCGGCGAAGGTACGAGAAGGAACGAGGAAGACGGGGCTCTCGACTCGGCCGTTGGGTTCCGGACCCGAGCCTAGTAACAGTCGAGCCCGGCCTACCTGCCACGTTCTACCTGCCACGGCCGTGCGTCGCTGACGTGCTGCGGCTTCAAGGCATCCTGTGCTTGAGGACACGCGGAGCTGTCGGGCTACGGGCACGAGTTCCAGCAGAGGTGTCCGGCCTGTACGTGGTCGGTGGTGGTGCGTATACCCTTCAAGTTGCCGCCTCGTCTACCGTGCGAGCAACGCGGAGCTGTCGGGCTACGGGCACGAGCTCCAGCAGATGTGTCCAGCCGCGACGTGGCTGCGGGGGCGGAGCCTACCCATCAACTAGTCGCCTGGTTGACCGTGCGGACAACGCAAGCCAGCTCAAGACGTAGCAACGAACCTCGGTGAGACCGACCTCATGTCTTGTGTCCATGCTAAAAAGGAGGGACGGTTAGTTTAGGACTTTGATAGTTCACAGAGACAGTGAAGGATTCTTTAAATAGCCTGTCCATGTTATGTGTGTTCGTTTTTCGTGTGTATAAAGTGTGGCGTACAAACGGCCTCGTCTTTTCGTGGGAGTCTGGGGCGACGGCTCGGACACCCATTAACTAAGAACCTGCACGTTGCTATAACACCCCCTGCAATGTAACAAAGACAACCTCATCAGGTTGATGCATGCGTTTGTTCTAAGTCACTTCACATACGAGGCAGCAATGCACAACTGGTCAAGAGCAGAGTCCGAGACACTGAATGTGCTCCTCAGGAAAGTTATCAAGAAGGTCCTGGGCCTACCCATACATACCAGCACCGAGCGTCTGCTTGAGCTTGGCATACACAACACGCTCGAAGAAATAGCAGAAGCCCAAGAGAGAGCACAGTTTGCAAGGTTATCTACTACAAGGTCGGGGAGAATGATCCTGCAGGAGCTGGGCCAAAACCCAATAGCAATCAGACGCAATTACAATGATATCCCTGACAACATCAGGGAGACTATCACGGTATCTCCTATACCGAGAAACATGCATCCAGAACACAACGTCGGAAGAAGAGTAGCGAGGGCCAGGACTATACTTCGTCAAGTCTCAAACGAGGAACGAGGGGTCGTATTTGTTGACGCGGCTTCCTACGCCAATGGGAAAGCGTTTGTGGCAGTGGTAGTCGATGGGGCTGGCCATGTCGTCAACTCAGCGACGGTCAGGACGAAAGACCCAATCATTGCGGAACAAGTGGCCATCGCCTTAGCACTCAAGATGGATAACATTGAAGTGGTCTACAGTGATTCCATGGCAGCACTACGGGCGTTCGCCAAGGGGACGGTCTGTGAACAAACGCTAAAAATACTGCAAGGCAAGAACATAACACATCATCTTCTGAGTTGGTTCCCAGCTCACCTTGGACAAATCAACGATTCCCCTCCCAATCTCAACGAAGCAGCACACGAGGCGGCGCGAGAACTCTCCAACCGCGCCTCCCCGGGGATGCGTTCTAGCGGTGAAGGGGATAACCGGGAAATTCTTACAACATATAACGAGCTCACTAAACATTTCTACCTGTCTAGAAGGATTTTTCCTCCACCTCACAAAAATCTAACCCGGCCCCAAGCACTTACATTAAGGCTTTTGCAAACGCGGATGTACCCTACTTTGAAAATGTTACACATCATGTACCCTGACCTATAACCAACATTTCAACTTTGACTGCTCTGGTTTTGCTATTTAAATTTACCGTTTTCGTCATTACGTGTTACGTTGCATTGTGGTTGTAACTTAAAACAAAAGAATATTTGCGCACAAAAACTTGATATTGTATTGTTAAAACATTATTATATATATTACTTATGCGGACGGTAATTTATTAGAGACGTTTTGCGTTTTGCCCGCGCCATCGCATGTCACACAATGAACAGCTGTCGTTCGAGACTCCCGCTTTCTGTTATTACACGTTAGTTTCAAAAACCACGTGTTTAGTATTTTCATTTATTCACGTTCTTTCATGCAGCAGGCACATAAAATTAGCCTGAATGCATAGTGATATGTATTTTACCAAATACAAGTTTTGGTATAAAGTTGTTTCAAATGTACTCTTTGATCTCAAAGGTCCAACTTTTGCAGCAGTATATTTGTCGTGAAATAATGCTCTCTCAACCATTTATTTCTCTGCAGATATTTAATTCCGAGAATGACAAGAACTGTCATTCTCGGAACTAAAGAGCCGTTTTCTTGGGGCAATGCTCAAGCTTTCTTGGGTAGCTCGCATCTGCATAGACATCATCATTGGCACGTGGGTTAATGTTTACAGTCGCGCTTGCGTTGCACGTGTGCGCACGTTGACTTTTAAAACGTTGCCAAAGATGCTTTACCTCGTCGGCCTGGGTCTCGGTGATGTCCGTGACATCACAATAAAAGGTCTAGAGATTGTCAAAAAGTGCTCGAAAGTGTACCTCGAATCCTACACGTCGGTACTGTCTGTCGGCGCGGCGCAGCTGGTGAGTTAATTCTATGCCCGATTTTGCTCACTTGCGCGACTTGACGGTAATCAGAAACATTCTCTTACGCTAAGGCAGCGCTTCACGTCGTGCGCTTGCAGTGTAGCGTGCGATGTATGTACACCACTGTTCTCAAAAGGCACGTGATAGGTGCTTGCGATGTTTCGATCCCGTAAGTTGGGCCAACGCCTCTTAGAAATCGGTTGGGCGCGTTTGGTGGCTAACTGCTTCAACAGTCAAGCTAAACGTTCAGTATAGCGGTTTGTTCATTAAGGCTGGTAATTGCGATAGATCAGGGGAACCGAAAGGGCGTGTAATGTATCACACAAACAGCCTTCGATACTGATCGCCCTTGATCATAAATATCCGCATGATTCCTTTTGCATCCAACTAAGTGCCAAACTATGTGCAGTGTTTTTGTTTTTCGGCGTTTTCTGGCGTCGCGTCTCTCGGCGTCATGATATAAATGCCGCCAAAATGGGCGGCCAACGCCTACGCGCAGCGTCACACATTGCGATCGAAAGGATTGTCCCCAGGAGCGGAGGCATTGCCTCCGTGACCGGCCCTCCTTTGACAAATTAGCGTCATTCGGAACGTAACGACGACGTCACAAATTTTGGTGATCTGTGACGTCATGCGGTGACGTCTTCACGTGACGATTTTGTCGCAACACTCGTGCCCATATACTACTACGCCTAGACTGCGCTCTGCTTACGCGCTGTAGTTCTCTGGAGTTACTACAGTTCTCTGCCCTAGTGTATCCACCTTATCCGCGACCATATAGCAAAATATATTAAGTGTCGCTTTCCCATAATATGGTGTCCTGCTGTCTCAGGTCTCCAAATATCCGCTTAGAATTGTGTATCCATTTTTGGCTCAATATAAATTGGAAGACCTTTTTTGTGTGCCATATATGTTGTTTAAGAGTTGCTCTTGTTGCAGGAAGAGTTCTACGGGAAGCAACTAATAGTCGCTGATCGTGAACTCGTGGAGCAGGGGTGCGGTACGTGCAGTATTTGAATCTATCGATTTTCTTGCAGCAGTTATTTAGTTGTTGTGCTTTGCATCGGTATTTGTTAATTCATTATGCTGTCTCACATTACTCCATGAAATTGAAGAAAAGAGCGATATGAAAATCGAGGATAGGCTTGGAAGGAGCAAAAAAATATATATAAACTCGTAGCTTGAGCTGGCGTGGGTAACGTGTCTCGTGAAATGTTTCTCTTGGAAGTGGCATCACTCATTCGAAAGTTTTCGACATCATGATGTGTTTCGTGAAGTCAAATTATATACAAATATACCTGCATTTCATTTCCTAACTGTAACATCCGGAGCATTACGGAGGCATGCTGTAATAATTAAAAAAAATGCAATGGTTGACTGAAATAGCGATATCAGAGTATACTATCAGCACCTCACACGTATCACAGTGCGTCAAACTTGTGCAGTTGTTATGAAAGTTGTGGCATCTCTGCCATGTTTCAAACCTGGCAGTGTCTTCAATGTTGAAGATCCTAATTTCTTGCAAATTAGAAACCTCTGCCAAGAATAGCGTGCTGCAGCACCTTGCAGACTACATAGAAGCTTGTACGACATAGGCCTATATTTCTGTGTCATGTCTCAGTCATTGTATGTTTACGAATGTTTCAAAACTAACTAGAAATTCTCACTGCAAGTTGCACAGTTTGTTACAGACAGCTTGTTGTATACTATTCAAATAAATTTTGCATAATTATGAGTACATAAAAAATGGTTGTATACTGATATGTGGCTACTCTGAGTGTTAACAGATTGCTTTTCAATAAGCTGTATTTTGTGTGTGCTGTTGTGAGGATACCAAAATGTATAGGGTCATCAGCTGTATATTCTCCTACAGAAACAGGCTCATCGTTACCAGAATATATAGCCGTGGCCCTGTAACAACATTGCTACCATATCTTCAGTGCCTTCTTGATTGCAAATTGATTCTTGCGTGTGGCACCCGACTAATACTGTTTCACATCATCATATATGAAATACAGTGCAACAAATTAGACACTAAAACTTGAATTATATTGTTGATTATTAATACAAAGGTCAGATGTAATAAGCTATTACAGCTTTTGAAAAAACCCTAGCGACATTGCCCTTCATATGATTTTATTGTGTAGTGACATTACTTCATACTAGTACTGTATCGCACTTAACTACGTCCTAGTGAAATTTCATCTAAAGAGCCTCTTTCAGGTCCGAAGAGCGTCCCCACTGGAGATAGCCGAACGAAATCGAAGCTGAGGGTTAGTGGCCTCTGAAGTTGTCCGTCGTGCTTCAGTAAATGGTCATTGGGAATCGGCCATTTTTCGTGATAATTTGCAAACCTGCGATGCCAGGTGCCACTCAGTGACCCCTCCCAAAACATGGTGCGTAAAACGCCATGCTGTACAGGCACAGACTCGTCTGCTGAAAAAGGCCCACTGACGCAAGAAAGCAAAAAATGAATAGTTAAGGTTGTATGAACATAGCTTTGTTATGTTACATGTGCAGTGATGGAAGTGCTGCTCTAAACTGCTCCAAAGATAAATGCTGCTCCTAAGAGCAATTTTCGTTGATAGTTGCTTCAAACCTGCTCCGAAATGGCACTGAGAGAATGAGAATGATGAACTTTTACTGTTTGACCAGCTCACAAGCCCTAAACAACAACAAAAAAAACTTGGCAGACCCCACCTACAGTGGAAATTGATGAGATGCGAAGCACGAATGAGAAATGCTCATATGTCACTTTAAAATCAGCACAACGGTACAAGGTAGAGGTAAATGATGCCGTACATGACTTCCGTGTCATGATTATCATGTTTGGATGTGTCGTTTACCTTCGTCATCTATTCACGTCACGTAATACCAAATTTAGTATATGTGGAGCTAGCAAAGCAGCCGCGAGCACGCTATGAGCGTGGTATGTTGTCATGTTTCTACAAGAAACGCCTGTCAGGATTATTATGGTTGCACCAGTCATATTTTCCCCATCCATTGATGTCACGTAATACCAAATTTGGTGTATGTGGAGCTAGCAAAACGGTTGCGAGCGCATCATAAAAGGCCCCAAATACTCCAATGTAGCAGTGACACCCGCACACTGGGCACAACGGCGCTACGTTAGCAAAACGCCAGGCGCTACCAGCGCCCGTCGGCGCGGCCCGACAGCAAACGGCGCAAAATGTGACATGCTGCGCCGATGCGTTACCCACTCCCTCTTTTCGTGACAAAGGGTCACTGGACACGCTGAAACGCGGATGCATCAAAGCAGAGGGGCGCGCGCCTGCGAGTATATGGCAGGACCGGCGCCTGGCGTGGCAACACCGGCAAGCACGCGTACCGCGTCATGTCGAAATGTATTGGCATCTTGACTTTGGCATGTAGTCATGTTCTCACATGACACACATCTTATGATCTTGTTTGCACCAGTCGCATACCTTCGTCATCCATTGGTGTCGCGTAATACCGAGTTTGGTACATGTGAAGCTAACAGAACGGCCGCGAGCGTATCATGAGTGTTGCATGTAGTCATGTTGTTACATGACAAGCATATCATGTTTATCATGTTTGCACCAGTATCATAGCTTTGTCATTCATTCACGTCCCGTAGTACCATGTTTGGTATATGTGAAGCTAGCGAAACGGCTGCCAGCGCATTATGAGCGTGGCATGTAGTCATGTTGTAACATGACACGCATCTCATGATTATCATGTTTACACCAGTCACATACCTTCGTCATCCATTCATGTACCGCATTACCAAACTTAGTATATTTGACGCTAACGAAATGGCCGCGAGCGCATCATGAGCGTGTAATGTAGTCATGTTGTTACATGACACGCATGTCATGATTTTCATGTTATGATCTGTTGCTTGTGTTCGCCATGCAATCATGTCATACCATACCAGTTTTGCAACATGCCATGTGAACAAAACCACCGCAAGAGCTGCAGGACAATGAAATGTACATCATGACATGTATGACATAAATATCATGATTTTCATGTTATGACTAGTCAAATATGTTTTTCATACCGTCATGTTATGCCATACCAATTTTGGTATTGATACCATTATCGAAACGGCCAGGAGAGTGTGAACAAAACCACCGCAAGAGCTGCAGGACAATGAAATGTACATCATGACATGTATGACATAACTATCATGATTTTCATGTTATGACTAGTCAAATATGTTTTTCATACCGTCATGTTATGCCATACCAAGTTTGGTATCGATACCATTATCGAAACGGCCAGGAGAGCTAAAAGTCGTAGGCGGCTAAATAGATATATAGATAGGCAGGCACGGCATGTACGCACGCACGCTCAAAGTTGCTGAAATTTGCTAAGAAATGCTTCGCATTTAAAAGAATCCATATACTATCATCCCAGTATACTACTAATGTACAGCATTATTGGCTCTGATCTCATTGAGCATACATCTCAGTTGGCTGGGCTGCTTTTTTTTTTCTTTTTTTAGCTAGACTTGCAGGCTTGTGTGGTTAAATGTGAAGATGAGTGGGCTTGCCTTTCTCTCGTACTGAATGGCCACTGCTTATTTTGCTACAGTTATGTGGGACTGGGGCTACTTCTAAAATGTGGAGCTCAGTGCTACCAGTTTGATTTGATTACTGCTATAAATACTAGTATTTTAATTATATAGCGCATTTCACGGCACATTTTCGAAAAGCAGCCATTTTGTCGATTGTTGGCTTCTTGAAATATACATCGATTGTACTCTGTGAAATATATTTTATAACAAATATTAATATTTAGGAGATGCTTCGAGGATGATTTGAACACATCTTTTTTTACTCCGAATACACGTATGGCTGCTCCAAAGCAATACTTTTCCCTCTCCAAAGTTTGCTCCAAACAGTAAAAAGTCACTTCCATCGCTGCATGTGCAGCAGGGGATGTGTTGATGCCAGTTATAATTGTTGTTTGCCCATTTTTCTGTTTTGGTTCAGAAGTAACATTTTCTTATATTTACTGTTATATTTGCTATATTACCAGCTGATATGCTTGAAGCTGCCGTCGAAGAGGAGGTGGCATTTCTGGTAGTCGGCGATCCGTTTGGGTATGTGATTTAATCCTCCCCAGCGACCCGCTTTTTGCAAGGTGGCCCAGTGTAGTTCACTGAAATTGATATTTGGGCTCGTGAGGGGGGTACGCCATTTATGGGAACGTTGCACATAAACGACATAGACTCAAGAAGGAACGAAGCACACAGAGCACTATGTGCTATTGGTCATTTATTCTGGTGTTCGTGCCCATTGTGCACCGCATTATATTCTTTAGTGGCCCAATGCGCATTCAAACAACTGTTGCAGCGGAGTATTGATCGAAGTTGAAACCTCCTAGATTGGGGACTCTGCTCTCGGAGTGATTAAATGCTTGTTTCTTATCATTGTGTACCTAAAGTGTAACATGAAGTCGCAAGCAAGTTGTCAGTAGAATGTTGCACATCTGGGTACCAAGCTTTTTTTTTTTGACAGCACCAATGTAATTGTGGGGAAAAAAGACAAAGATGCACGAGTAATTGCTGGGGCAATCACCGTCAGAAAGAAGGGCACCACTTGTGTCAGCGCGTCCTTGGTGTCGCGACCTAGATTGATGTACCTTCAAGTTCTTTTGGTTGAACTGCCATTCGCAGTGCCACCACGCACTCTGACCTGATGCTTCGTGCTCACGAGCGGGGTGTCAAGACGCAAGTTGTTCACAATGCCTCTATTCTGACAGCAGTCGGCTGCTGCGGCCTTCAGGTGAGGAGCTCCTTGCGCTATGTGCAACTGAAATGTTAGGCTTCGGCAACGTGTTTCTCGGGCTTGTGGTATGAAACTCGAAATAACATGACCTTACTGGCGTGACGATAGTTACAGCGCGAGAACAAAACGAGGACGAAGAGACAAGTCGTTCTGTTTTGTTCTCGTGATATAACTATCGTCATGTCATACCAACTAGCCCAAACTGCCACACTTACTGCCATGTTTTGTCGTTTGTGGATGACATCATTGACATAAATTTATTTTGACATCACGGGAGACATTACGAAAGTTGCAACATTGATGCTGTGGGACAAAAGCCATAGGCATGTGCACTATTTGACAACATAGCAAACAGCAGCATGAGATCATTAGTCAATAAACAGTATTAAAACATAGATTGCAGGATAATATTTATTTGAATTATAAAACAACTAGGAAAATGTTTTTACAGAGGAACAGTATAAATGCTGCATCGTAGGAAACTATTTCATGTTAGTGGCAGTGAAGCTCATCACTTGGTGACCATAGTTATCATGTCTGTGAGGGATTTCCATTCACAAATGACTGATGTGCTTTTGACAGAGGGGAGGAACGTAGCCTCCCACCAGTGAATTTTCTTTCCATTCTCCCCCACATATGCAGCCGCTTCACCACTACTAGTGCGTGCAGATTGCCGCATTTTGCATGGCATATGAGAGGCCAGTGTGTTTGAATTTTTAAGCCCGCTGTAGCAATTGTGCGCCGAAAATGAACAGAATTGTCGGATGTGAACAGGTCAACAGGTTACCACTGCACTCTGTTTGGCTGCAACAACAACGATCGGAAGCATGAAAAACTGGCAGCCAAGACATTGGAAGTGCACCATATAGAGTGACGTTGCGTCGCACGCCTACTCCAACAACTGCTTTGATAGGGGTGTCTGCGCCTGTGCTCATTTCTTTATACCACCAGTTGTAATTCTACTTTGGTACTGGTACTCTTTATCACCTGTACCGAAAAGAAGCAATGTCAAGGCTGCTGATCAACAGAGAGAATGTGTTTCCGAGAATCGTCGTAAAACATCAACATTCCTTGTTCCCATCCCATGCAACAACACACGAGCTGCAACGGCCGCAGCTAGCCAAATCTAAGTACGTGCAATTTTGAGGTAATCGAGTTAGCACTTCCCCTGCTACATGACAGAAAGGCCTGTGTGATAAGTGTTCTTTGGGGCAAAAACAGGCCTTGGCGTTGCTTGCAAATTTCATCATGATAGCTAGGGTAGCGTTATGACAAACTCACTTTCTTTTTTTACACCAATCTGGCTGTCCTGAATAGTCTGCCCACGTTTGTTAAAGATAGGTCGTTACCTAAACACGTACACTCGTCGTGATGTTTCTTAAATGGATACTGATACAAAATGTTTTTTTGTATATTTGCTGCTGTGTGTTCTTGCATTTTGTTTCTTCTTTTTTTTTTTTGCTACAGTATGTTGCTGGAGGTCTGTTAGTCATAACACGTTACATCATTTGCTGTAGCATGCAACAGATAATTAGTTACATGTTCATTACCGACCAGTCTGAGTTTCAGTTTGAGAAAGCTCCAAAAAAGACAGGCTGCCGAGTAGAATTATCACCACCTAGCATGTGCAACTTTCAAACCTGTCGGCACACAGAACTGTGACGTACTTCCCTACAGTCCGCATCGAGAAGCGCTTTCAAATAGGAAATGGGACAGCAGTGCCACCAAACACAAAGCTTCAATGTGTGCACCACAGACTCGCAAGCATGGTTTGTATAGGGCATGTCCTATAAAGTGGACGGAGAGACAAGCACTGCTGTAGCTCAGTTGTTAGAGCATTGTACACGTTATTCGAAGGTCGCAGGTTCGGTCTCTGCTAGTGGCGAGTTACTTTTTCGTGCACTTTTCTTTTTTTGCATTTATGTTACAATTACTACTAGTAGCATTCCCTGTACATTGTTTGGCATCATTGTCCGATAGTTCTCATCGCAAGGAAAGGGTGTGTTTCATCAATGTGACATTGCTAGAGCGATAGTCGTTAAATAATAGAAAACATGCTGCATTATCCTGCTAAGCATTCTTTATTGGAAGTGAGAGTCTACTTCTTACGTTTAGTGAGAGTCTACTATTTACCATCATCAGTGAAACAGTTTCGTTCTTATCGCTTATCTCGAGCTTGGCTGTTCATACCTAAGAGAATAGCTTCAACTGCTGGCCGTGTTTTGTGGGCACGGTGCATGCATATGTTTCCTGGCCGTGATGTGGGCTTCCTATTGTCCAGTTTGACCAGCCAAGTGTCCTTATTGTCCTTATTTTATTCTGTGCACTTATGATGACTGCTACCATTTTTATGGTGTGGCTGGCCTTGTGCATTGACTAGTAGTCACCTGATCAAAGCGGTGCAATCTTGCAATGCCTCGTTTGCATTAGATTTGCATTGGGACAAAAAATGTGAGGACGTGGTAGATGACTTGCTCACGAGGTACTGGTCTGAAGTTTTATTTATGCGATGTTTGTGCCCGCTGTGACACTAAAACAAGGTATGTATACAAGTGATTAGAAACTATTAAAAAAGCTTTAAATAACAGAGGTGGTATGTGGGTATCAGGCAAAAGACGGCGCATAATTCTGACATGGCACAAGACAAGAAAGGAACAACAACAGCATTGACTTACAACTCTGTTACAACTGTTGCCATGCCTTCTTCGTTTTGTGTCCTGTCAGAATCGTGCACTTTTTTTTTTTTGTTGTGAGCATGGAAGTACCAGCGAAGGTTCAGTCCTAGCGAGAAATGTGAAGTCGTTGTAAAGCGATTTCTGTTACAAAACAGAAGTCTCTTTGATTGATATTAAAAAGTAGAAAGCTACCAGTGTGGATTAGCGATGGAATGTCATTCCTCATATTTCAGTTCAAACATACAGATAATTGATAATGCTTTTCAAAAGAACTGGCTGTAACAAGTTGGAGAGGATTAGGTGAGGCAACAACATGCGGCGGCTTATGTCTTACTTTGTTCACTGCTTGCAAGGCACTCGGTAATCTCTGAAGAGTCAACCTCGAGCATATATATGTCGCTACGATGTAACCAATTACTTCTATCCATCCAGCTGTACAACTTTGGTGAGACGGTATCCATCGTCATGTGGACAGACACGTGGCGGCCACACAGCTACTACGACAAGATTGCTGCCAACCGCAAGCGAGGTCTCCACACGCTGTGCCTCCTCGGTGAGAAAAAGATGCCACCTGCATCGAAACTACTGCATGCCAGGGAACTGTGCAGTGCGTGCCTTGCAGTCATGAGGTCGTACATCTCTAGTGTTATAGTGGTGGGATGCAACCTTCTAAACATAAGAAGTCTGGAGAGACTTCTCCATCCAGATGACCGAATCGTGGCAGCCAACCATCTCTGTGGCTAACGAAGTGGTCCCACTCGTGCACTTGGCTAAATTCTCTAAAGGCAGGGTCACCAACCACTCGACTCATGACATCAGTCTAGAGTGCACGCCTGTAGGTGCAGGTTTGTGTGACCTGTCTTCGTGGAGAAAATGCCGTGGACCTTTAAAGGGGTACTGACACAAAAACCTTGGCCTCGTGTTTTCTGCTGCAATGCATTGCTGGGGGCCTGTTAGTCATGACACGACACATCGTTTGCTGCAGCATGCCACAGATAATTAATTACAGGCCCCTCATTATCAATCAGTTTCGGTTTGAGAGAGTTCCAAGAACTAGGTGCAACTTTCGCCACCTAGCGTGCAGCGCTTGACCACGCCAGCACATAAAACTGCGATGCACTTCCGCACGCTCCGCATAAATAATTATTTTCGAATAGAAAACGGGACTGGAATGTCGCCAAACACATAACCTTCTAAGCGTGCGCCATGGCCACGCACTCGCAACCAGCCGCCAAGAAATATAGACTGCGGGAACTAACGAGACAAAAGAAAAATGGCGGCTGTAACGTCATCATAACTTGTTTTGTTGACCGTAGCGTGGTGACGTGAAGGAAGTAACGGGTCACCTCGAGGTCCTTTCCGATGGTGTCTATAGCGCTATAGAGTCGGTCGCTCACGCAAACTTCAAAATGAATTTAAAATACTTTCCAAGCTATATTTGCTGTTCATATCTTGCAGATGATATACTTCCACGTTCCATTTCTCAAGTTTTGTAATCGCCCCAAAACACTACACAATTCTCAGCTCAAACCGCGCCTGCAGTTTTCGAGAAGCTTCCGGACTTTAGTAGATCATTTCGATAAGATCACACCCACTCTGCGAACTGTACAGATTATTCTGGAACCTACACCACCACCAGCGATAACGCTAGAACATTCGATGGCAAGAGTATAAATGCGGACGCACTTCGCCGCTTGTCAGTTGTTGATCGACAGCCGACGCTCCGTTCGCCGCTATCAGTCCAAGACTGCTACTGTAGTCCGACTTTCCGTTTACTGGGCACAGGTTCGCCCAAATAAACAATTCATTATTTGACTCGCAGTGTGCTCCATTCGTCCCCGTCACGACCCCGTGACAATACGAATGTTCACGAGAATCGACCACGCAGGCTATCTCAGCCCCAAAATTTTGTGTCAGTACCCCTTTTAAGCTGTACCCAATGACACTCATTTTGCCACTCCCAGAGTGCACTGCGCACTGCGGTGCCACTTCTTGTCACATTCTCCTGCTCACTGATTTGAGAGTTTCAGTGCAGCAGAACCCTAGTCATTGGGTCTCAATCATCTAGCACTCCATTGTGCTCACCGCACTTTCTTTTGTTCGCCAACTGCACCCAGGAAGTACTCAACAGCTTGCATATGCTAGTCATTTCAGGGTCCCAGTACTAAAGCAGACGTTTAGGATGTAATAATAGTGTAACGTGCAAGGGAACAGAAGATGAGTTGATTAATAATCAGTGTTCTTTTAGCATCATAACCAGTGGTACGCTCCTCTACATTAAAGAGTAACTCTGGTGATTATTCAACCATGCTAACGTATTGAGGATTCTGTGTCATGCAACTGGAGAAAACAAGAAGTCTAAAAACAAGGCCAAAATAACTAGGCAGTTGAAAAAACGCCTTTAAGTGACGTGTATTACTCACCAGCAGTGCAGATGCACAAGGCGTGTTTGTGTCGTTTTGTCGTTCACGCAACAAAGTCCGTGTCTGACCACTGCCGTGGGGCTCTTGCAGCCATAAGCAAGTTTGCTGTAGCAAATCGTAAAGAAAAAAGAGGAGTTGGGTGACCTTGGAGTTCGAATCTGTGGTCATTTCTTCCTATTGAAGTACGTACAAGATTGTCAGGACCAGCCATGAAGTCAGGAAAATTCGGCATTTTTTGAAACAGTTTGAACATTTGAGAGATTTTACTGTACTTGTTGCAGGCGTATTCATAGTTTAATCACGAATTCCTTTTTTGGTTTTACAACTTTATTGTTTGAACTGTGTGTAATCACTGTGTGTAACCAGTGAATCAGCTCCACTAAGTGCACCTGATGGACTGAGTGCTCTAGTGTGAATTATGCAGTTTTACGACATGCTGCATTGAAACCGGAAATTCGATTCGATTGCTGCTATTAGCACTTAAGCACCTTCATAACAGTCCTCACAATTCCATTAGCTTTGGGAAAAACTCTTTCTACAACCTTTTTGATTACTCCTTTAAGCATAGCACAAACCTGTCTTAGTTTTCTGGAGAATTTTCTTAATTATATCACTCTCTGCCATCATCTCTCATGACTCCATGTCTCTTCACCTTTCACCAGTCTTTGTACGATGTGTGGCCGGTTATCTGCTCGAGGTTTTGCAATATTTGCATGCTACCACTTTGAAATGTTCACCTAATCCACCTTCACGTGTTTGCTCTCCAATTCATGCTGTTGATGCCAAGAAAATACTTTCACTATGATGGTGCAAGTTCGTGCAACTTTAGGGGCTATTCTTATAGTGAGTTGTAATACAGATGAACCTGTGGTACACATTCTGATTTCACTTTTTCAAGCAGTCACTTGACTCATGCTGAGTGCTCTGAGAAACATTGGCACCGATTGGTGATGTTCTCTTGGCTTTCTGCGCTGTCCTTGCAGACATCAAGATGAAAGAGAAGTCGATAGAGAACCTCATCAAGTGAGTGCAATGCAACTGTCGTCCCATTTTTTGTATGTCACGAGCTAAGTGTGCATGACCATTCATTGTGATGGTGACGTCATAAACCTCGTTACAAGAGTCACATCCATTATGAAAACATTGTTTTTTTTTCATATTTTAATGAATTCAAGGAGATAGCCACAGGAAACAGCCTTGGTCTTACTTCATTACGTGTCGTGCCGTATTTGGACTCGGGTACAGATGCAGCAAATCATGTTTATAACCGAGTTAGTACACCCAGGAGGAGTATAATGCTGAAAACATGCTTTATTAAGCAAAGAGTTATTGACATTACCTTCAAGCTTTTAAAACAAGCGTTCAATCAAAGAGATACCCAATGATGTTGTGTCCAGGATGGCTAATAATTAACGATGCCTGCGGCTTGTTACTGCTGGGCAGGGAATGGCGATTGTGCGCAAGGCAGCACACCACAGGTTCAGCTTCTCGCATCTATGCCTTCTCGTAATCTATGAAACGCCTTCTCGTAATCTATGAAGGCTATGTATAGTGATTGGTTATATTCTGAGCATTTCTCTATTACCTGATTGATAGTATGAATGTGATCGATTGTTGAGTAGCCTGTTCGAAATCCTGCTTGTTCCTTTGGTTGATTGAATTCCAATGTTTTCTTTACTCTGTTAGCAATTACTTTTGTAAATAGCTTTTATACTACAGAGAGCAAGCTGATCGGCTTGTAATTCTTCAAGTCCTTGTCATCTCCTTTCTTATGTATTAGGATGATGTTAGCGTTCTTCCAAGACTCTGGTACCCTTCTCGTCAGGAGACACCTCGTAAACAGGATGGCTAGTTTTTCTAACACAATTTGTCCTCCATATTTCAGCAGATCTGATGTTACCTGATCCTCACCAGCAGCTTTGCCTCTTTGCATGCTCTCCAAAGCTTCTCTGACTTCTATCATTACTGGTGGGGTGTCATCTGGGTTATTGCTAGTTCTTATAGTATTAAAGTCGTGGTTGTCCCGGCTGCTGTACAGATCTCTGTAAAACTCCTCCGCTATTTTAACTATCCTATCCATAATGGTCGTTATTTTGCCTTCTTTGTCCCTTAGTGCATACATCCAATTTTTGCCTATCCCATGTTTCCTCTTCACTGCTTTGATGCTTCCTCCGTTTTTCAGAGCGTGTTCAATTCTCTCCATGTTATACCTTCTTACATAGGATACCTTACGCCTATAAATCAGCTTCGAAAGCTCTGCCAGTTCTATTTTGTCTGTTGTACTTGAGACGTTCATGATTTGACGCTTCTTAATATGTGTCTAGGATGTCTAATAATAACGATGCCTAGAGCTTTAATGGAATGCATCTATAAGTACCGTCGTAGTGGGCCCAGTACAAGACGAGGAATCAACGCAGGCACGCAGTGTTTTATAGAATGGGCGTGAAGCACGCCAGGTACTACATCATGTGAATGGAGACAAAAGCGAAACTGTGTAGACAACCACAGATCAACGCCAGAAGAGCATGAAATGTTTCTCCACCTTCCCGATATTGTCGATGTGTGCATAGTAGTGATGCATAATACAGTTACTGATTATGTTCTTGTGATCATGAATTCATTCAATGCTTGTTTATCCTTCTTGCTTTCAGTTGCATAATTTTTGGTCGCCACATGACAAAGACGAGGAACAATAAGTGATGTCAAAATTTATAAGTGTGCAATATATATGTTGATATTAGTACATAAATAATCATTTGCAGTAAGCTCCCATTAAATGAAAACTGAAGAAACCAGGAAGATACATTCTGCTTAACAGGAGTCTCTTTTTTTATTATTCAAAAGACTGCCCCCCTGGGATAACAAACGTTTCATTTACTGAAAGATGAATAGGAGTGCAGAGTTTATGTACAACATTAATCATGTTAGAAAGTGGTTGTTCCATTTTAAGTGACAATTCCATTTAAAGGGACTATCAATTTTATGGTACCTTTTTTTTCCTTCAGCACAATGGGAAGCTTACCAATAAGAGTGTCTAACCACGGAATTATAATGCGGTAAACACGGTGAAAAATTTATAATCAAGGCATTTCGATCTGTGCCGGCTGTGGAATCATCGCACCCTCACATGTTGCAAACAGCGGGAGACGAGTGAGAGAGTGGTTAATGTACGTGCGTGGCAGTTCGCGACGCATGCTCATGCTCTACGCGCTCGACAAGTTCTACTAGTTGCCACGAAACCACTTCTCAGCGTGCAACTCCTTTTACGTTGCAAGCAGCACAAAGATTGCGAGATAGAGTGAGAAATGAAGAGGAAGGCTGGGAGGTTAAATAGATATTAGGATCCAGTTTGTTACCCAGCACTGGGGTAAGGAAATAGGGGCATGAAAGAGGGTGTAGAAAGGGAGAAATAAAAAGATTGGGGGGGGAAAATGGACTCACAGGAAGAGCGTTCTGGCTGGCGAAGTTTGGAAAAGCCGGTCTATTGCAAAAATCGCAGCAAGCGCTTACAGAACCTTCTTCTGCGATGTATTTTCTCAGTGCACAAAATTGGGAATTTATAATAATATACAGACTCTAATAATGAGCTCTAATTATGCTGTACATAAAAGCATCAAATTGCAGCAGATTCACATTAAACGAATATCTGTTAAGCGGAACTTTTGCTTAAAGGGACACTAAAGCCAACTATTAAGTCGATGTTGATTGTTGAAATGGTGGTCCAGAAACCTCGTAGTGCTACTTTCGTGCCAAGGAAGAGCCTATTTTGAAATAAAATCGCGTTTCAGTGCTCTGCATCGGGTTAGCGCACCTCAAATTACCGACCTCAAGAAGAGGACCGACCAGACCGTCTCGCGTCACTGTGGCCGTGCACAACATTGCCGTGCACAACATTGCCCGGCTTTGCTGCGCTAGTAGCAGCAGACCGAAAACAGCAGGAGCCACAGCAGCAACAACGGCCATTGATCGATTTCCCGCCATTGGCTTCGATTCATTGATTGATTGAAAACTTTATTGGACTACTTACAATGTGCCCTCGCTTGTTATTTTGAGCACCATGAAAAAAAAAACTAGGATGGCCTCAAACTGGTCAGCTTGTTGCTGCTGGGCAGGGAATGGCGATCGTGCGCAAGGCAGCACACCACAGGTTGAGCCTGGCTCTGATGAGTGGGTCTTCAAGTATCCAGTTGGTAGTCCCTTTCATGTCTTGCTGTAGCTGAAACAGGGTACGTCGGGCTTTTTTCATAAAAGCAGCTCGGCTTGATTCGTGAACGGGGCAATCCTAGAAAATATGCTTCGTCGTTGCTGGCTCGTGGCAGTAGTCACAGTTGGGGTCGGAGTACTTTGTCGGGTGTATCTTGTGGACCGAGATTGTCGTGAAACTTCGTGTTTGCAATCTTCTGAGTGTCACCTCGTAGAGGCGGGTGGATCTTGGGGTCGGGGCATCGTGTTTTGTAGCTTCTAATTTGGCCCTTGATTGCCGCCGGTGTTGAACTTTCGCTCGGTAGTTGCCTTCATGGGTCTCATCTTGCGTCATTGTTGCGGCCTGTTGAGCTCGCATGACCGAGTCGTTCCTTGCTATGATGCTGCAAGGCTCGTTGATGAACTAGCTCGTGTCCAAGTATATTTGTGTGTCCGGGAATCCAATGAACTCATAACCAGACTGATCGTTCTTGAAGTTAGGCGGCATAGTGCAGGGTGTGCCTTGCGAACACTGGTAGCTTTTTTCTAGTTTGGAGTGTTTGAAGCACTTGCTACGAATCAGTGAAGATGTGAATAGCTTTTGGCGGTGATCCTGTTTGATTGTAATGGGCTAGAGCTTCCGAAATAGCGTACCCTTCAGCTGCTTCAGGCAGTAAGCAGGGTTGAGTAATAAAGAATGAGGATGCTTCCCCTGTTCTCAAGTTGAAAAATGCCCCTGTGTTGGAGCCTTGATGAGTGCATGAGACATCCGTGCAGATTATATCTTTTTCGTTAGGTATACTTTTAAGGTCTTCAATATGCCGCAGAGCATAGTATGCCCTTCGCTGATTGTCCGAGGCTTGGCTCATATGTTTTAGAAGCGGCCGATTTTCGGTCACGGTAATACCTTCCCATGGCCGAATGGTGGGTAGAATTTGAGGCAGATCTTGATTGGTGAGACTTAGCTCGTTTCTCTAGTTTCTGATGGATTTTCCAGGACGGGTTAGCTTGAGGCACTCATTTTGAGCTTGCAGTGCAGGCTCTACATAGTCACGTAATGGAAGAAGTACACCTGTTCCGTATAGGTCTTCGACTTTGGTGTATTTCGATAGCCCTGTGGCGATACGAATGCATGTTTTGTTGATGCATTCAAGTTTTTCAAGCTGGGTCGGCATCATTGGCAGGAAGGGTAGTTCATATAGGAGCCTTGAGTGGACGAGGGTTTGCGGGAGCCTTTTAATTTGACCTTCGGATAGGCCCCAGGCACAATTTCTCAACTTTCGCAGCACTCTTGTTGTCTGTTTCGTAGTGCACACCGCTTTTTCTGCCCATTGAGTCGACTTGGCAGTTGGTTGATATATTATGCCTAGTACCTTAATGTGCTCTTTGCTCTGTATTCTTGGGTTGCGCACAATAAGTTGGATTTTATCTCGAATAAATTGCTGCTTGCTGTGGTTTGTAGGTTTCAGAACAACTATAAATTCTGTCTTTTCCGGTGATATCTGGAGACCTTGCCTGTCAAGAAAAGTGGCGATAACATCAATTGCCTTCTGGAGTTGCTGCTGTTGCATAGAGATGTCTCGTGCATTACACCAAATCGTAACGCCAACGGCATAGGTTCCCGCCGAGATGGACTGGACTTCACTTAGAAGAAAGGCAAGTCGGGGCATTGTTATGTTAAATAGTGCTGGAGAGATAACGGCTCCCTGCGGAACTCCGATTTTATTGGAGTATGATTGACTGGTGAAAGAGCCTATTTTTATAGAAAAGGTCCTGTCCTGGAGAAAACTCTGGACATAATTATACAGCCTTCTGCCAACAGGCAGTTCTGACAACTGCCT